AAGGCCGGCGGCGGCGCGGCGGCGCTTTGCGGGCCGCCCCGCGGCCGGTCCCGCCTGGGATCCATCCTGGAGGAGGACGAGGAGGATGGGGAGGAAGGCGCGGGAGGCAGCTCCGTGCTGCGGCTCGCCGGAGCGCTGCGCGGGTGCAGCCTGCGGGCCAGCGATGCGCCGCGGTGCTGAGAGACGGGCCGGGAATGGCGCGGATGTGCAGCTCCCCACGCGCCAGCCAGCACCTCGGCTGCTGCTGCAGTAAAGTTGTGTTTTCCACGCTGGTTTTGGATGTTTTTTTTGAAAAATGGCGTTGGGGGGAGTGGAAGTGGGGCTGAGCGCCTGCTACCCCTGCAGGGTAAGACTGGGGATGAAGCCCTCTCCATTTAGGGTAAAATTGTCCACAAAAGGGCACGGGTGGCGGGGAGTGGGGTTAAATCCCCCCTCAAACAAGTGCCCCAGGGGCTGGCACTGGGACTCCACGCCGTGCATCGAGGCTGGATTTGGGTGTGGACAGCCACACACACACTGGGGACATGGGGGTCTAAGACTGGGCCTCTGTCCCTCCCATTGGGACTGACTCCCTCCCCACAAAGAAACCTGCAGGGGGGATCAGGGTCTAAAGGGATGGTCTAAAGGTGGGATGGGAGAAAGAGAGAAAGAGAGAGAGAGAAAGAGAGAGAAAGAGAGAGAAAGAGAGAGAAAGAGAGAGAAAGAGAAAGAGAGAGAGAGAGAGAGAGAAAGAGAGAGAGAGAGAGAGAGAAAGAGAGAGAAAGAGAGAGAAAGAGAAAGAGAGAAAGAGAGAGAGGAAGAGAAAGAGACAGAGAGAGAGAGAGAGAGAGAGAGAGAGAGAAAGAGAAAGAGAGAAAGAGAGAGGAAGAGAGAGAGAAAAAGAAAAAGAGAGAAAGAGAGAAAGAGAGAGAGAAACAGAGAAAGAGAGAGAGAGAGGAGAGAGAGAGAGAGAAAGAGAGAGAAAGAGAGAGAGAAAGAGAGAAAAGTCTTAGGGGTGGGATTGGGGCAGACTCCCAGAAAAGGGTCTGGGAACCGAATCGAATCGCACGGCACGGCACGGAACGGAACAGAACGGAACCGAACGGAACCGAACGGAACGGAACGGAATCGAACCCTCCGCCCCGCCCCGCGGGGAGGCCCCGCCCCTCCCCTCCTCTATCACCCCCACGTGCCGCCGGCTGGAGCGCCGCTTTACGTCATCAAGCGGCGCCGGGGCGGAAGGCGGCCGCGCCGGAAGGCAGGCAGGGGGCGGTTGCCCTGGTAACGGCACGGCAGCCATGGAGGGCGGCGGGCGGCCCTCGGCGGCGCAGGCCGCGCTGCTGGCCGCCGGCGCCGCCATCACGGCGCTGCTCTACTCCGCCTACCGGCACAAGGCCCGCGCCGCCCGCCGCCTCCAGGTACGCCCGGGAGCGGGGCGGGCGCCGGCACCGGCCGCGGGCGCCGCTTGATCCCGCTCCGTGTTTCCGTCCTCGCCGCAGGGCGCGCGGAAGCTGCGGCTGGACGCGGAGCTGCGCGAGGCGCTGCGGGAGGCGCCGGGCCGCTGCCTGCCCTACGCTGTCATACAAGGTGCCGAGCCCGAGGGGACCCCAACACCCCCAATTTAGTAGGATCTTTACCCCCCCGCACCCCGTCCCGCCAYAGCACCCTCTTTTTCTTTCGGGGAGGGTGACGGTTCAACCCCAACACCTCCTTTTTGGGAGGTATTTACTCCCCCAGCACTCTCGGGGTGGTTCAACCTGCCAACGCTTCTTGCCTGCCTTTTGAGGAGTTATTTTAGCCCCAACACCTCCCTTTTTGGAGGGGACTGGTACCCTAACACCCTTTCTGGAGATGTCTAACCCAAACATCACCATTTTTCAGTGGATTTAAGCCCAATACCATTTTGTTTTTTAAGTGGGGGGATAAACCTCATTGTCCCCTATTTAAGAGATTATGGTATAACCCCAATACCCCCTTTTTAGGGGATGAGAAAAGATATAACCCCCCCAAGTCCCTCATTTATTTGAGAGAATCGAGGACTTCTTTAAGCCGGGGMGGAACCTAACTAACCCCTTCTTTTCTTGCTGTTTTCCCCCCCGAGGCACCGTGCGCTCGGCCAAGGAGACGCTGAGCAGCCAGTTCGTGGAGGGCTGCCACGGAGTCGTGCAGCGGCTCACGCTGCAGGAGCACAAGATGGTCTGGAACCGCACCACGCACCTCTGGTAAMGCGCCCGGCCGCTCGCCCTGCGCGTGCGGGGGTCCCCAAAGCCCCCCCTGTCCAGCCACCTTTGCCACAGGGGGGACAAGGACCCGCTTTTGGGCAGCGGTGCGGCCCAGCAACCGCATTCCTTCCGAGATTGCTCTCAGTGCCGCTCCGCAGCCCCTCAGAAAAAGACTTCTGCTTTTCCCACATGTCTGGGCTGGAAGTGGAACAGAGCGGCTCCTGTGGGCTCCCTGCTCGGCTTTGAACTCAGCCTCTCGCTGCTGGACGGGAACATTGGGAATTAGCGGCCTGGTTGCTCCCTAAGCAGATTCCAAGCGTGTCCTGACAGCTTATTCCGGGGCTCCCAAGGGGTTTTGAATCAATAAAGTTGGAGGGGGTGGAGTTTGGCTCACTTTGCCCTAGAATCAGCACTTCCTGGCACGTGAGAAAAAGTTCTCTTCCCTCGGACCTTTCCTTCCCCAAATTTGAAGRTCGGAATCAGCCTAAACTTTGGTCACTGTCCTCCTCGCTGATTATTTTTTTTCAGGGGGTGGGAAGGTCACACAGCCGTTCAGGAGTTTTACACACTGATGGGATTTCAGACAGTGCCGAATTTATACAGAGGCTGCGAGAAACRCACTTAGTTTTGAGCTGTCGCTGCTGCCCAGTACTGGCTGTGATACAGCGTTTCCGCAGCAAAACAAAGTCACARTCATTTGAATTCAGGTGATACATGTGCTCATGTGCCCACACACAGGAGCCTGTAAGGTAGTTGCTGAAGCTGCTGAAACAGTCTCAGCTAATCGGTTTATACTTAATAAATTTGCCTGGGCGAAACACAGTGCACGGAGGCTCGTCCGTGTTGCAAATACGTCGGGGGGATTAGTTGGTGTTAGATCTGCRTGAGCTTTGTCCTTGCAACGTCGGGGAGGCTGCAGAAGTGGCGAGAGAAGACGGCCTAGCCTCGAGCTGCRTTGTCTGAGGGACAGAAACTGCTCCAGAGCCCATCCCAATGGGATAGATTCCATGTAGGGCAGGTGGTAATGCAGGTGCGAAAGCTTGGGAATAGCTCAGAAGCTCTGTCCCATCTAAGGAAATCTGGGACTGGCTGTGGCCCTAAATCCTGCTGTGTGGTCCTGGAGTTCCAGGATGAGCAGGCAGTGCATTTATTTCTCTGCAGYAGCTTCAGCTGTTTTTTCACCCCAAACTAGCAGAAAGGGGAATTGCTCCTACCCTTCCGACCTTCCCTCTGGGGGAAGCAGCAGTGCGAAACCCTTCTGCGTTGGTCACATTCATTAATCTCTCCTTCCCCAGGAATGACTGCGAGAAGATCATTCACCAGAGGACCAACACGGCCCCCTTTGACCTGGTGCCGCCCGAGGAYGGTGCAGATGTCAGTGTGAGGGTGATGAAGCCCCTGGAGGCAGCAGAGCTGAGCCTGGAGACGGTCTACGAGAAGTTCCACCCCTCCATCCAGTCCTTCACCGACGTCATCGGCCACTACATCAGTGGGGAACGCCCCAAGGGCATCCAGGAGACGGAGCAGATGCTGAAGGTGGGGACCACACTGACTGGTGTGGGGGAGCTGATCCTGGACAACAACACCATCAAGCTGCAGCCCCCCAAGCAAGGCATGCAGTACTACCTCAGCAGCCTGGATTTCGACGAGTTGCTGCAGAAGCAGGAGTCCAGCGTGCGGCTCTGGAAAATCCTCACCGTCGTTTTCGGCCTCGCCACTTGCGCTGTTCTCTTCTTCATCCTGAGAAAGCAGTACCGGCACCGGCAGGAGAAGCGGCGCCTCAAGCAGATGCAGGATGAATTCCGGCAGGCCCAGGAGCGGCTGGCGCGTGAGGGCAGTGCGGAGGGTGGCGAGACGCTCAAAAACGCTTGCGCTGTCTGCTTGAGCAACACCAAGGCTTGCGTCTTCCTGGAGTGTGGCCACGTTTGCTCGTGTAACGAGTGCTACCAAGCTCTGCCAGAGCCCAAGAAGTGCCCCATTTGCAGACAGAGCATCTCGAGGGTGGTGCCCTTGTACAACAGTTAATTTGGGGGGACTTTGTGGGGGGCTTTTTGCATTGCCGTTCTCTGTCTGCAGGGGGGTTTCTTCAGCTCCTGCTTTGGGCAGCCTTCCTGTTTGCATGATTTCTTTTGCTGGGATTGATGCTGGGGAAGGAGAGGGGAGCCAAGCGGCTATGGGTGCCTTAATAAGAATGCAGAGCGCAGTCACAAAAGGATTAGATGAGCACTTAGGGCTTGCATTATGCTCCAGAAGTTTTTAAGGCAGATCTGAGCAAGCAGGTCTCAAAAAGAACGCCCTGGTTAAGTAAGTAAATGAATTTTCTTATTTTTCCTTTGGGTTTCAAGCTACTGCATTTGTCCTGGTTGGGCTCCCCACATCTGTTCATGTTTTGGCAAAATAACCTGGGCTAGAAAGAAGTAGGGTGAAAAGCCCATGTGGCTGCTTAGAGGCTGCAGGATTTGGGCAACACTGCCCTCTAGCTCCCAGGACTTCCCTCTAGCAGGGTGGTCATTAAAGGAATTTATAGCAATTTGTATAAACATAAGTGCTTTTTTGTGTGAAAAAACATGGTTGATTCAAACAGAGTGGAATCTCTGTAGCCTCCTCCTCCTCCTCCTCAGTCTCTTACTGTTCTCACAAGAAAAGCTTTTCTTCACTTCCTTCTGCGGCATTCAAATAAATAAAAAACAATCCGATTTTGATGCACAAGGAGAAATGGGAAGAGAAAATGCTACGGTTGGTTTCAGCATCCAGGCTTGAGACAGGATATAAAACACACCTACGTTAAGAAAAATGCGYTGGTCTTGGGTTATTAAATCTAGGTAGCCCCTAAGGTGGCAATAGGAGYAGAACAAGTTTTTTCCCCACATTCTGTCTTACTTACTCCGTAAGGTTTGGCAGCATTCCTTGTTTTGGGAAAGGAGCCTCACTGTCATTGGAAGCAGCTCCTGTCCCTGCTGCGCTGGACTGGGCGCCTTTCCCTACTTTTCTTTGCTCCCAAGAAGAGAGCAGATTAGCCAGGCAGGATCAGGATACTTCCAAAGGAAAGTCTCACATGGGTTGTGTTGGTTTTTCTTAAGAAATTTTGAGATTTGCCAGTTTTTTCTTCGCTCTCCCTGGCTTCTGCAAGCTAACCTGTTAAATGCAGGAGAAAGAAGAGGGAAATCGCCTCCCTGCATCCCAGCAGGGCATAACACAAGGTACCACAGATCCTGCTGCCCTCCTTTTTCTTCTGTAGCTAATACAAAATAAACTTGGAAAAGGAAAATCCCCATCCAACGTTCTTGTGGTCTGATTCCGAAGCAGGGAATTCCTGGTGCTGGAGCACAGCCTGGGATCTGAGTGAAGGGATCCAGCCAGGAGAGCTTGGCCATTTCGCCCACTATAGAAGCCCCCAGCTTTGTCCCTTGGGCCTTGAGGAAGGAGGTGGCCAGCTGTGGGATCAGCCAGTCCCGCTTCCTCATCAAACACTGACGAGCTGGGCCCTGATGGCTGTGCCAGCGTGTCCAGGCTGTAGGAGCAGCGCTGACTTGCAGCAGCTCCCGCACTGAGCGGAGGAAAATCCGCTTTGTTGCTGGCTGCTGCTTCCCTCCCTCCCAGCAAGGCTGAGCTCTAGAGTCGGGGTCTCTCCAGGGTCCCCTCTGTTTCCCCACCTTCCTTTCCTTTTCCTGGCAGAGAGGTGGTGCGGCTTCCTGGAGTCCAAGGGCTCCTTGGGAAGAGCAAAGGGAGGAAACCCACAAACACTGAGCTCCCTTTCTGCAAGCAGAGGCCTGGAGGGAGCCGCTGGGAGGACTTTATAGCCCCCAACAGGGCAGCAAAGCGGCCAGGACRGCCCCTTCCCAGGGCTTGGGAGACTGCAGCAATATCTGCCCTCCACATCCAGCCTTCCCCCTTGTGAGACCTGGTGGGATCTGCTCCCTGCTGTTCACACATGGCACGGGGACCCCCACCAAGCCCCCTAAACACACAAGTGGGTGCCACGGGGGCGGCTTGTCCTACAATGCCACTTTCTGCCTCTGATTTTCTCCTTTTTTTCCTCCGTTCTGGGAGCAAGGGCCCTAGGGCAAAGCAGGGCACCCTGCAAACCATCAGAGAGACGCCCTCTCCGCTGGCCACAACTGCCCTGCGCTGCAGCCCCGGTCCTTCCCATGCATTCCCTCCACCCCAGGRTATTTTTGTCCCCCCTGCTCCAGCGCCTCGCCTCTCTCATGGCTCTTCCCCGCGCCATCCTGGGTGCCAGCACAACTTATGTAAGCGAGTGACAGCTTGGGGGAGTGCGCGCAGCGGAGGGAGCTTTGCTCTGCCGCATGATAGCGGAGGATTTGGGCAGAAACCCAAAGTTTTGGGGAGCGGGGGTATGGGGCGGGGGGGGGGGTGGCACTGCATCCTCCCCCTCCCTAGCACAGGCCCTGCAGTGGGATTCATGCTGGGATTAGTGAGCGCCAGGTTTGCTGTCCCCAGGTTCCGAGCCCTGCAGCACTCTGGGCTGCTGCCGTAGGTCACTATGGGGTGATGGTTGTTTAAGCACAAATGCTCTCGGCAGCCTGGTGTAAATGAGGTTTTGGCGCACGAGATGCACAGAGGGGTCCAAGGGGTGTGTGAGGGGTGTGCAAGGGCTGCAGGAGGGATGTGCAGGGGACATGCAAGGGACATAGAAGGGATGTGCAAGGAATGCCAAAGGGATTCCTGCCATCCTGCACAAGGGATGTGGAAGAGATGTGCGCGTGATGCCCAGGGGATGGGTAAGGGATGTACACGGGATGCTCCCGGGATACCTAAGGGCTGTGCAAGAGCCAGAGGGTCTCAGCGTCTGCACATGAAGCGTCTGTCCTGCATCCATGGCCTTGGCGGAGCCCCCAGCCGGACCATGGGCAGGAGGGGGGGCTGGGGTGGTGGTCAGCGATGGGGACATGGGTGGGGGGGGGGGTGCGGGATTGCTGGGGGAGGGGGGCGCTGCCGCCGGGCTCTCAGGCACCTTCCTCCCTCCGCGCTGCTCCTCCTCCTCCTCCTCCCCCCGCCCCCCCGCGCTTGGTATCCCCGGCCGCGGCCGCCCCTCGGCAGCCGGCGCCGGAGCCGCCAACAGCGGCGGCGGCGGCGGCTCCGCTCCCCCTGCTCCGCTTCGCGCACCCCGCTTCCCGCTTCCCGCATCCCGCTTCGCGCATCCCGCTTCCCGCCGTCTCGGCGCCCGGGGACGCTGTCGGGGGGCGGCGGGCCCGGCCCCCCCCCCGGCGCCGCCATGTCGCAGGTGCTGCCCTACGGCGAGGAGAAGCTGGGCGCCTTCGACGCCGCCGCCGGGGGGCAGGTGCCCTTCGCGTGTCGCCTCCGCGACGGCGGCGCCTTCTTCGCCGGCGCCCCGGGCAAGCGGCCCCCCAAGCTCGGCCAGATCGGCCGCAGCAAGAGAGGTGAGCGCGCCCGGCGGGGCTTGCCCCGGCGTTTTCCGGGCGTTTTTCGGGGCTCCGGGGCTTGCCCCGGCGTTTTCCGGGCGTTTTTCGGGGCTCCGGGGCTTGCCCGCGCGTTTTCCGGGGCTTTTCCGGGTGTTTTCCGGGGCTCCGGGGCTTTTCCGGGCGTTTTCCGGGGGATTTGGTCTATTCTGGGCGTTTATTTTTCGTTTTTGTTCAGGGGATCAGGTCTTTGCCGGTCGTTTTTCACCTTCTCCATGTCTTTTCCGGGCTTTCCCCCCTCCCCAGTTTCATATGCCTATTCCAGGTGTTTTCCAGGGGCTCAGGTCTCTTCCGGGTGTTTTCCAGGGCTCCGGCGGTTTTCCACGGTAGAGGACTCCCTGGGCATCGGGTGTTTTCCAGGGAGCCGGGTGTTTCCCAGGGAACAGGACATTGGGTACCGGACAATTCCTGAGACACTGGGTCTTGGACACTGGGCACTTTTCGAGGCACTGGGTGTTTTGGGGCATAGGACCTCCCTGGGTATCAGGTATTTTCCAGCACCGAGTCCTTTCCCAGATACATGATCCTGGGCTTCAGGTATTTACAGGGATACCAGGTACCTCCCAAGGGACAGGACGCTCGGTCCCAGGTATCTCCTAGGACACTGGTATTTTCCAGGGGGTAGGACACTCYTGGGTATCGGATATTTTCCAGAACCCTGGACATATCCCAGGGGACAGGGTGCCAGGTATTTTCCGGACCCCAGACGTTTTCCATATGGTACGACTCTGGACACCAGCTATTTCCCAGCGGAAAGGGCGCTGGGTATTTTCCAGCACCCTGTGTATTTTCCTAGGCTATAAGACCCTGGACACCAGGTATTTCCCAGGGCACCAGGCGCTTTCCCGGGAACCCTGAATATTTCCTGCTGTTTCCTAAGGTCTAGGATCCTGGGCGCTGGGAATATTCCTCGGCGACCTGGTGTTTTCCTGGGCAAGTAAATTCACCGCCTCCTTTCTCTCCTTTTTCCAGTGGTCATCGAGGACGACAGGATCGACGACGTGCTGAAAGACCTCTCGGAAAAGGCACCTCCTGATGTCTAAGGCTTCCTGGATGTGCCCGGCCAGGGGCTGCGAGGGCAACGGCACCACGAAGCAGCCAACCGAAATGAATGATACCACCAATCACCCTGTTAATTAATTAGAAATAACGATGGAGGCGAAGGCAGRGGCAGGAGGGAACAGACAAAAACAAGAAGAAAATAAAATCAGCAAAACGTTCATGTACTTCCCCGCCCCCAGCAAAATCCCACCCTGGCCTGCCTATACAGTGATATATATATTATATATCTAAATATTCCCTCTTAAATCGCATTGTAACGGTTTAATGGACAAGAGCGCGTGCAAAAAGCAAAACCCCGATGAGGGGAAAAGCCAGTTTTTCCAGACTGGGGGAGATCCTGGGTTTTTGGGTTACTTTTCCTTATATTGTGGCAGTTTGTTCTCTTTAATAGACTGTTGAAAAAGAAAACAAAAAGGGAAAAACCACAAGAAATATCGAACGCGACCACGTGAGTGCCAAATCCCTCGAGACACCGCGGGGCAGCCTATTTCCGTCCTGATTTTTGTGCCCTTTGAGGCCACGCAAAGTGGCACTTTTTGGTCTTTCCATTGGATTTCCTGAGGCTTTGGGGGGGTCTCCAGTGGCCTCTCCAGGGGGGATTTTTGCTTTGACTTCTCTCTCTTTCTCTTTTTATTTTTTCTTTTAATATTTTGCATGATGGGCAAAGGGCAAAAGGAAGACTCTGCGATGCTGGACCTCAGGGCAGGTTTATTTTTTTTCTTTTCATTCCTCTTTTCTTTCTCCTTTTCTGCACTGCTGTCGATGTTGCACTTTGATCCACTACACAGGGCTATTTCTGCAATGTGCGAATAAAAAAAAAAAAAACGAGTGAAACAGCGGAAAAAAAAATAAATAAAAGGAAGAAGCAAGTGTTTTCCTGTGGCTGCCCTGGGAGCTGGCTGTGCGCTGGGTTTGGGGGCAATTCCTGGGGCTTGTGGTGATAGTTGGGGCAGGAAATCCTGGGGATTTTAGGGGGTGGCTCCTGGGATTTGCCTCTCAAGTCCCGTAGGCAGAAGCACCGGGGCTGGAAAACTCATCATGGGAAAAGCCCAGCAGCAGCAGCAGTGCCCAAGACTTTCTGCAAGATAAAGTCTGAACCAGCAAGATAAGGACCCTTTCCCCRTATTTTCTTGCCCAGGAAAGCCCCTTTCCCGCAGAAATATGGGGCTCAAACGCCACAAATAGACAAATAGATGTTTTTTCCCCCCACCCTCCAATTTCCCTCTGCATTTTAAGCCTTTTCAGTAGCGAAGCCAGGACAAAATCTGGATTAGACACGATTTTCCTTTCAGAAAGCAAATTGCTCTTGGGCCCTTTGGAAGCCCAGGGTAATGCCATTAAGGCAGCCACTTCCCAAGAGCCAGCCACATCCATATATAAGAGAGCCTTATATTATATATATAAAAGCATATATTTATTCACATATATACATACATATAGATAAATGCATAAATTGGATGCACTTATTATAATGAGGGGGAGCTCATGGCCGTGGCATCAGTTCACTTGGGAGGATAAGCAAAAAGAAACARAAGAGGCAAAAGGGYAGAAAAAAAAAGGCAAAAAGAGCCAGTGCTGGGGCTTCCATGGCCGAGAATCCTCCCCTAGGCTGGATTAAGGATTAAGCTCCAGTTTGGCTGAGGGAGGGGCAAAGGCGGGCGACTTGCGGTGCCAGGACATCAAAACGGAGCTTTGCGCCACCGAATCCGGGCTTAGCACCCTGCAAGGGGATTTTGCACCACCAAGAGAGCAAAAAGGCATTTTTGCCTTTTTCCATCACCAAAAGGGCGTTTTGCACCTCAAAAACATCGCTTTGCATCAACAAAACCCCACTCTGCACTGCCAAAATCCTATTTTGCGTTGTCAAAATGCTGTTTTACATCCCCAAACTGCCCTGTTTTGCAGCCTGCCCTCCCTGCTGCATGTTGCCCTCCAGACTCACTGCCTGTCTCTTCAATAAATGATGCCGCTGCCGTAAGGTGAGCCGGGCAGCATCTGCGAGCTAATGTGCCAGGTCCGGCGGGCTCCTCTGTGACCCGCTCCAGGGCTCCCATTACCCGGCCCCACAGGCTTCCCAGGAAAACCCCTCTGGGGAAACGGGCAGGGCGGATAAAGAGCATTTTGTAAGGCTTATTTCCCTGGAAAACCTGGTATGGGTCCAAAAAAATAGATAGATAGATAGATAGATAGATAGATAGATAGATAGATAGATAGGTAGATAGATAAGGAATTTTGCCTTGCTCCAAGGCACTGAAATAGCCCACCCGGCTCAAGTGAGCCCCTGGGACAGCAAAGGGGAGTCTGGGCTGCCCTGAGGCTCTGCAAGCATCTGAAATGGGGAATACAATATTTAGCATTTGGAAATACAATATTTAGGATTTGGAGATACATATATATTTTAACATGGGCCCGCAGCAGCTCAGATTTGCCTGGGATTTTTTTGGGGCGGCTCAGCTGCAGTTTGGGCATTTGCTATCCTCYCCTTTCCTGCAGCTGGAGATGTGGGGGAAAAGAGTCGGGGGGATGACAGGAGATGTAGAAAAGAAGAATAAGAAAATAAACAAGCAGGGAGGGGACGGGGAGGCRGTTTCACACCTTGCTGGAGGAGGCGGCAGGCGCTATTTTGGGCAGGTGCTGCCTCTGAGTCAGCACTGTGGGAGCCGATGGCAAGTGGGGGGCCACTAGAGCCCCTCGTCCTGGCTAGCTGACTCAGAGGCACGTGGTGGCCCCTGGCAAAAATAAGAGAAAAATGTTAAATAGTTTGACATCTTTTTTTCTCTCTTTGTGCAAGGTCTGTTGGCCAGGAAGCTCTGCCAGCCCTCTCAGTCTCCATAGTGATGGTTTCAGCCCCAAAACATCTGTGGGCGTCGATGGAGGTGGAAAGGAAAGTGCTGCCCATGACCATCCCACCGGTGGCACCAGGAGCATTGCTCCTACATGGGCTCCAGCACGGCCGGGCAACGTGCCGATGGACAGCCCAGGAAGCTGCAGGCTCCCACCTTGCAGAGCCGCATCCTGGCTGGACCTGTGGATGCTCCTGGACCGCAGTGTCACATCTCAGGTGGGCACAGGGAGGCTTCCAGGTTGTGGCGCCGCGTACGAGGTTGCGGTGTTGCATTCCCTTCCAGACCTGTGGATGCTTCTGGGTTGCAGCATCATCTTTCCCCTGCCTGGGAAAGAAAAAAGATGGTCCCAGGTTGCAGCATCATGTTCCAGGCGGCAGTGTTCTGCCTGGGCGGATGATCCCAGTGTTCCACCTGCTCCCAGGTTGTAGCATCCCAGCTGGGCAGAGGGAGGCTCCTTGGTCACTGGAGCGGCCAAGGGGCTGGGCAGCCACTTTTGCCCCCCTGCAGCACTCTGCAGTGCCTGCRTGCTGCTTGCTCTGCTGTCTCATGCACAGAAAGGGTTAAGCAAAAGAAAGAAAAAATAATAATAAGAAAATGGAGATATTGATGGAGCTGACAGAGCCATAGGGTGCTGCAGACGGTGCATCCCTTGCAGCACCTTGTGATGCCCTAGAAAACCGCCCGAGCTCTCCCCTTCCCACCTCGATCAGCTCCCTGTTCATTTTTCAATTTTCCAGCTCAGTCCCACCACCCTCTCCTTATTAWTATATTTTTCCCTTGCTCTGCAGCGCTGTGCACCCCCGGGCTGGTATTGGGGCTGCCAAGGGCTGTTCACAGCCGCCCTCGAGCCTTGCATAACGGGCGCGTGACTGCAGCGAGCCGCCCGTGACGCCCGCGCCCGGCCCCGGACGCTATTTCGGGAATGCCGGAGCCCACAGGGCCGTGAGCGAAAAACCCTCCTGGCTTCCAGATTCCCACTTTTCTTCCACTCCCCCAACCTCTCCATAAATACAGACAGGGAGAAGAGACCTGCTGGAGTGACAATGACAAAACGAGCTTTTAGAAAGTTCTTTTTTTCTTTTGAGGGGAGAACAGTTTGTGAGCCATGTTGGGYGCTGTGCAGATGGCTGCGTTATTAATAGCTGCAATAATAAAAATTAATATTAAATAATAATAAAGGCTCTGCAAAGAAGGCATCCTCATGGCAGCCCAGTTGGGGCTGCAGGTGAGCAGCAGCCAGGGGCACCCAGAGAAGGCGAGTGGATCCGTGCCTTTGGAGAAGGATTTCTCCTCTCCTCTTCTTCCCCATCGGAAAAGCTTCGGGATGCAGCAGCCCAAGGCACCACGTGCCTCCTTAGCACTGGAAACCTGAATGCAAAAAGTTGGCATTTTCACTTCTCTTCCTTTTCCCCGACCTTTTCATTTGGGGTGACTGAGCCAAAAGCACTCGGGAAGGATGACCAAGCAGGCACAGATTTACTGGGATAACAACGTGATTACTGGGATAACAACAAGGGATGAGGTTGCCTCCACAAAGCTTTGACACCTCTGAGTTGAAGGTTTTCCTAAGTCAAAATATGAACAAGTTTAAGTGCAGACCATATAGGGGCCTTTTTTCCCATAAGGAAATTAAAGGCTGGAAATAATATTTAGAAAAAAAAATATACCTAGGTGACCTATTTCCTGCTGGGAGTGGTGCTGGGTGCTTGGCTGAAGGACGTTGCTCTGTGCAGGCAAGCAGCTACATCCAGATCTCAGCAATATCCATCACCTCGGGCAGAACACTGGGGAAGTTGTTGAGACGCTTCCACGGCGCTGCCAGATCCATTCGGCACTGAGCCCGGAGCAGGATCCTCGTCTGGCATGGCACCATCGGGGGCAGATGGAGCCAAGGGTCTGACCTGGTTGAGCATCAGCCTGTAGGACAGGAAAGGTGGTTTGTGTGGGAGCCACCGAGGCCCAAGGTGCTGCTGAGGCAAAATTGCTTCATATTCACCGTGGAGAGGCCTCAAAGGTCCCCTGCGAGTGGGTGGGCGAAGCTGACGGGCTTTGGAAGAAACAGGAAGGCAAGGAGGGAAATAAAAAAGAAGGAAATCTCCTRTGTAGGAGAAGATTGGATGGCGGCGCTCAGGTGGGACCCATCCTGCTGCTAAACTACTCTGAGCTTTGGGCCAGTTCCTTCCTCTCTCCTTGTTTTTGCTTTAGTTCTTGCTTTAGTTTAGCCATGTGAAATGGCACAGAGCTCCTTCTGTGCCCCCCGAAACTACACCTGGGGAGGTTGATACCAAAGGTCTCACAGGGCATTTGTCCCTTCTACGCTTAAAACAAGCCAGGATTCATTCTTCAAGGCCTAATTTTAGGTAAATTGGAGTTTTTTTCCCATCTTCCCCCAGCAAGCTTTTTCATGTCTCATTTTCCTAGTCTCTTTATTTTGGTATCATAGTAGAGCTCTCACTGAAATTATGCATCGTTTTACACCACGACAGAGGAGCCAAACTACATCCTTGCTTCACTCACCTTGCCACATTTCTATCGTCCTTCTAAAATGTGGCATCTTGTTATAGGAAGAAAGACCAGGTACGTTCCTTAGAAACCATGAGTGGAACCACCAGTGTAACAGAGAGCCAAAGAAATTGAGGACTCTTACTCATGCCATAACATCTGTCATCTCCATCCTGGGATTGTCCTATGGGAAAGCCACAGTGCCTCCTGCTTGCTGAGCTCAGACTCCTCTGGCCACTGTGCTTGAATGCTGCCCCTGGACATGGACTAAGGGAACTGTGGACGTTAGAGAGGCACCAGTGCAAAAATCCCACAGGTCCATGACTTGGTCCTTTCTGGATATGCCAACCCAGGATGCCTGTCCTAGGATGAGATATTTTGCTTGAGTGAAGGGGG